CATCTATCCTACACATTCGATCAAGGTTATCATTGTGAAGCTATAGTCAAGGTGCACCGGGTCTTAGGGCATCTCCAGCCGTTGGCCCCCCAGGAGGGGCAAAAAATCGCCCCCTGGGGGCGCACCGGCGCTAAACCGTGCACTGGGGGCGTGATGCCCCCCACGGGTTTTTAAAAAAGTCAAATACGGCGCAAACACGACTCAAATTTAACACAAACATCGGCGAGTTCGTTCAAATTTAAACATACTTTACAAAAAGGGAAAAACTACCGTGGGCTACCCCCGCCGTCTCCCTCGCCGCCCGCCTCGCCGCCCGCCCACGCGGTTCTACATGCCGAGGAGGCGGTAGAACCGCGTGTAGTCACCGCCGTCGTCGTCGTCGTCGCCCCCGCCGACGCCTCCGCCGTCCCTGCTGCATCCCTCCCCCGGTTGGTGCGGTGGGTTGGACGGTCCGGGGGCATCATCGTCGTCGTCGTCGTCGCTGTCGAGGACCACGATGCCGTGCTCGTCCTCACGCCCACGCTTGCGGGCGGCGATCTGCTCCAGGGCCCGGCGCTGTTGGACCATCTCGTCGCGGAGGTAGTTGTCTCGCGCCCACCTCAGGGCGTCCTCATCGGAGAAGCCACGCCGGGCTATCTCCTCGTACTCCACGGGGAGGCCGGGCTCCGGCTTGGGCTCCGGCTTGGGCTCGACGAGGACGAAGCGGCCGGTGGGGGAGGCGTTGTCGCCGATGCGGACGCCGAAGCTGCGGGTGCGCGCGCTGACAGGCGCGCCCTGGGGCTCCGGCTTGACGGGGCGGAGGTGGAGGCAGGGGGAGCCGCCGGACAAGGAGGAGGACCCCCCGGTCTCCATGCGCCTCGGGGTCCAGGAGCTTCCCTGGCGGCGTGTGAAGGACGGGGGAGCGGGGTACTCGAGGCGCGGCGTGTTGCCGCTCTCGATGTACTCGAGGATGGCCTCCAACGTGCGCCCGGGCACGCCCCACCACCGACGCCGGCCGACGGCGTTGAGCCTACCGGAGGGCTCGACGCCGTTGGTGGCCTCGAGCTGCTCGGCGTGACGGCGGCGGAAATAGGGCTCCCAGAGCGGGCTGTCGGGGACGTACTATGACCCCTACCTCGCCGCACGCGGCAGGGACGAGCGGATGCGTGCGATCTCCGCACACCGCGCCGTGCCGGTGGGTATCGGGGGCACCAGCACGCCGTCGGTGCTGATCCTCCACGCCCCGGGTACCCGCATGTCCGGCGGGACCGGGTACTCGGCCTCGAAAAGGAGGCGAGCCTCGCTCTCGTGAAGATGGCGGCGGCCGAAGCCGTTCACCGCCGCGTCGTCGCCTAGGAAGCGCTCGGCCATGGGTGCTGGAGACGGCGAGAGAGAGGAGAGGGAGGAACGACGACGGCGAGAGAGAGGAGAGGGAGGAACGACGACGACGAGAGAGTACGAGTCGCCGAGTGCACGGGGGCGCGTCTTATATAGGCCGAGGCACCGCCCGTGCGCGAGCCGCCGTGAGTACGCGTGGCGGGCGAGGGAGGGCGAGGGACGCGTGTCATCCGGTCTTCACTGCGCCGCCCTTGAGGCATCAATGGTGCAGGCTGACCGGCGCGGCAGCGCGGCAGCTTTGGCATTGATTCGCCGCGGGAAACGAGGCGATGAGGACGACGAAGGGGCGAGAAGAGGGTAGAGTTGTTGACGCAGCGGGCCCGCGGCTGTTTCGCGCCAAAACAGTTCGCCCCAGCGCCCCCGGGCGCCCCCAGCGCGCCGGGTTCGGCCTGGATCCGCCGGTGCTGTTTTCGGCCCCAAGCCGGCGAAAATCGGGCTCCTGAGGACGCGACCGGGCCGATTTTTCGGCGCCGGCGCAAAAAAAAATGCCTGGGGAGGCCTTCCTGGGACGCGGCTGGAGATGCCCTTACCTTCTAGCCATTGGTACTCCACATCTTCATGGAGAATTTAATTTCAGCGGGTCCACGTCGGAGACAGCGGGACAGTCGTATAAGCATTTCTTGCAATAAAGCGCATCTGCTCTCTATAGTTCCACATGGAAAAGTTTGTAGGATACATCTATCTTCCTGCCATGCACCAAAGTTCGCCTCATGTCACAACACGAACATATCACCTTAATCCAAGCTAACCGAGAAACGTATGCTAAGAAACATAACGGCATTTTAGCTCTCATAAATGGAAAAGAAAAGAGAAGACAGAGACAAATACTGAAATATATGTACGGATATGCCAAGCTCATGCATCACCCACTTCCTCGCTGCAGGCCCGATCCTTCCGGCTGGCCACGTCCGCCAGAAACCGGGCAAACGCCAAGCGCGACGACCCGCCGTCGTTGCAAGCCACAGCCGCGGCATCTTTGCACGCCGCCGCCCGCGACCTGAGCTCACTACCCTCCTCAGACTCCATCACAAGCCTTACTTTGGCCTCCACCTCGCCGGCCTTGACCAGGCCCTGCTGCCACCCAACCATCTCCTTGGCGATCCCCATGTCCCCCACCATGTGCAACTTGTTCATCTTCTGCTCCGAGTACAGCGGCCAGCACAGCATCGGCACGCCCGCCGTGACGCCGTCCAGCACCGAATTCCACCCGCAGTGCGTCACGAACGCCCCCGTGGCCTTGTGGCGGAGGACTTCCACCTGTGGAGCCCACAGCTTGACGACGAGGCCACGGCCGTTGGTTCGCTCCATGAATCCGTCCGGCAGGAGAGCGTTGAGGTCCGGGTCGACACCGGGGTGGTCGCTGGCGGGGGCTCGCACAACCCACAAGAAGCGGTGGCCGGACTTGTCGAGCCCGACGGCGATCTTCCTGAGCTGCTCCTCAGAGTGGTTTCCGGTGCCTATGCTCCCGAAGCAGAGGAACACGACGCTGCGGTCCGGTTGGCCGTCTAGCCAGGCGAGGCACTCGTGCCGCTCTTTTACCCCGGCGTCGGCGATGCTGCCGACAAATGCACCGACGCAGTACACTGGAGGCAGTACCCTGCCGGGGACACACAAAGGGTCCCTGAGAGCAGCCATCGCACGAGCCTCCAGCGACTCGAACGTATTCACCAGCGTGCCGTCGGCCTCCCGGATCCGGCACAGCAAGGCCATCGTCGCCTTGTATGTGTCGCTGTCCAGGTCCTCGAGCACCTCGCCCAACAGGTGCGAAGCCGGGATGGGTGGAAGGCCGAAGAGCTCGAGAGGGGTGTCTCCCAGCTCCTTGAAGCTCGGGCCGCCCTCTGCGAGGATCGTAGGGAGCTGGGCGAAGGCGGCGGCGCTGGAGGTGAACATGGTGTACCCGGGGATCCCGGGCCTCTTCACGATGCGGAGTGCCTCGTTGGACACCGAGTCGACGACCACATCGTGGACGTTCCGGGCAAGCATGGAGCAGAGGAAGTCGTGGAGGCGCTCGTTGTAGCGGCTGAGGTCGAGGTACCTGACCATGAACCTCGCGTCGTGGGTCAGCTTGGGCGTGTCCTTCACGGCCCGGAGCGTGTGGAAGCGGACGGACGGCATGGAGGCGGCGACGCGGCGGACGACGGCGCCGAAGGGGATGTCCTCCTTGACGGCGGGGTCAATGAGCGCGACAGAGACGGCGTAGCCGTGGTCGTGGAGGGCCCTTGCGAGCTGCATCATCGAGACAAAGTGGCTCACGAAAAGGCCAGGGTACAGAACGACCGTCTTCTCCTTCTCCATGGGCTCTCTCTCTCTGAACGCAGGGAGGATATGAACTGGTTACATGTAACGAGCAACGCTTGGATCTTTGGTTGTTTGTGGTTGGTGAGCGATCCAAATCATAGATGAACAGCCGCCCTTCACAGTGCCGCTCGATCGCCGTACGCTCTCTCACCAGCATGAATAGAGCGTGGTCACTTATAAATGTCTTGCGAGGGAGGCTGTGGAAGAGTAATGCTACACCCACTTAAGGCTACTCGACCACCCTTGTGTGCAGAGACCACTGCAACATTAAGAGCGTCTCCGGCCGTTCGGCCCCAGCGCACCCGGCAATGTGGTTTGGACAATGTGCCCGTGGTTTTTTCGCCCCGGAGGCAATGCAGTTCGCAGCCGTGCCCTCAGGTTTCGGCCCCAAGACGCATATAAGTTCAAACTTATCTTTTCTCGCTGCCAAAAAAACGCCCTAAGTTCGGCGATCATCATGCCACAGTTCGACGATCAAACATAAACGATAGTTCGGCGCTCAAAAGGAAGGACGCGTAGACAAAGAAATGCATCAAACGACGGGCTCCTGGGTGTGGGACTGGCCGGCGTTGGCGACGACGTGGCTTCTGTGCGCGGGCTGTTCGACATCGCCGTGGCTTCTGTGCCCGCGCTGTTCGGCGTCGCCATGGTTCCTGGGCTGGGCGTCGGCGTGGCTTCACCACTCGGGCTGGGCATCGGCGTGGGCGTAGGCGCGGTGGTCGAAGGCATCTGGTTCAAGACGAGGCGCACTCTGCCAGGTACCACGCCTTGACCTGCTCGTCCATTGTCGACATGTCTGCGCCACATCAAGAACGCCAGGTCGGTGTTGCTTTTCTTCACGGCGACGTTGGTTCGGAGCAGGTCGAGTTTAACAACGTTGTTTGTCATAAACGCCGACCACCACGCCTTCGATTTCTCCTCCCTCTTGGCGGCGTGATCCTTGGCGTCGGCGATGCACTATTGATCGACGCTTGCAGCCGCTCGGCAGTCGGTGCAGCGTCCTTCGCCGTCTTGGCTTTTTTGTTGTTGTCAGGGCGCCCATTTGCCGCCCCCGGAGCGGGCGCGTCCGGCTTGTACGTCTCATTGGCCTTGGCGAGGGTGCGCCAGACGTCCGTCCACTTCTTGCACTTCTCGATCCGGGTGAACACGTGCAAGTACTTGAACTCGGCGTCGCTGCTGTTCTGCCGGTACATGGTGAACATCCGAACCATCTGCGCAGCCGAAGAACAAGTGTCGGTGACATATACGGCGAATAGAAGCGAGAGCCGACGGCTGTGCATACCTGACCCTCGACGTTGGTGCTGCTTTCCGGGCGAGCCGCAATCTCTTCGACGATCCCATGTCATTTGTTGCAGGCCGTCTAGATGATCCCAATGGTTCACCATGGCCTTTGGGCTGTGTTGCATGTGGATGGTGGTGAATTAGGGGTCGACCAGCTTGCGCTCATCGAACGCCGACTTGATGTGCATCAGGTACATGTCGGCGTTCTAGTTTGCGCCGGTGACTGGGTCGATGCTGACCGTCTTCCATGC